TATAATAAGCATGAATCTATAGATATTAATAGGTGGTCAAGGGGAGGTAGTATATGATTAAATTTTGATGCTATACAAAGAATTCTGGCTTCACAGTCAGGGATGGTAGATGGTCGGGGTAGATAGTTAGGGAGGGTGGAAAATTAATGTGGTGGTAATCTATGACAAAACAGAACCAACACCTGCTGAGGTTGAACGGGTGTCGAAGTCATGGTGAGGTTCCGCCGACACCCAGAGACCCATTTCCGACACCCGCCGAGCTGTGTCCCTGGGCGGAGTAGATGGCATTTTTAAATTGGGCGGGCGGGAGAGGGTTATATTTATCGCGCTGAGCAGCGCCTCCACAAGCAGCCTTGAATAGTAGCTTATGACTTTATCAAATTTATCCACCAAACAACAATGTTCTCAGCAGGAAAGTTGCACTCTCATCCCGAACCAGCTTTTTGCATGATTTGCGGCCTTCAGGAGGGCAATGATAAGTGGCTCAAAGCAAGTGAGTCTATGACTGATGGTTCATCAGAAGCTTTGTGTTACTAACTTGATTAAGTCTATTGCACACCGACTGGGGTGAAAGTGACCAATCCCAGGCAGGACCCCTGGTATAGGTCACTAGAATCCAGTAATGGCGGGAGTGAGATACAGAATGGAACGGACGTGTATCTCTTTCACGAGGAGCCATGCTGGCATCGTCTCTTGGAACATATCGGCCCTGACAAACTTCATTTGGCCAGTCTCTTTGGGGCATTGGAGCGTTTACCACTCCCGAGAGACTATACCTTTCCTTCATATGCTTCATTACCAGGCAGGATAGGTCTATGTGCCTGGCCTGGAACGGAAGACGACCTACATGAATTCCCCATCCTCCCTGGCCGGTTTCCCCTTCCTGGTCTGGAAGAGCTGATGCGGTTCGCAAAAGACCCTCCCAAGCCCTCATCAATTATCGCGCAAAGGCCCGTCAACCATCCAACAGATGGTTTCGCACAACTCTCATTTGAGACTATTGTGATTATATCAAGCATGCTATCGACAAAGGAGGCTCTAGACCTCCGGCATGTGACACGAGCTGCGATCCCACTTTTCGCAAGCTCGAAATTCTGGAGAACGCGATTTGCCATCAACGGAGAACGTGGCTTTCTCCTCCCCGTAGTCCGGAAATTCTTCCCGCCGGAGGGCAATCATGAGATCGACTGGAGACTCCTGTACCATTGCACTGCTCATCTGAACTGTAGTGATTGGTTTGAAATAGAGATTCGGGCCTGGGAAACCTTGCGCTGGCTTCGAGACACCGCTTCGGCTATACACCGTGAGAGGCCACGTCCGCCCGACTTCCGGGGTAGTCCAGCCCTGCAGCATTATCACAATACCACCCGTCGGAACACATTCATTGAGTCCGTCGAGATAACATCTTCGTTATGCAAGATCGCCATATCTGCGCTCTAAGAAGCAGGAGAAGTGAACATCACCGGGATCGAGTTTATCTTTGATGATGGTCGTCCCAGCGCCATGTTTGGCTACGCTACCCCTGGAGCGCAGCAGATGACACGCAAGAAATATGCACGTAAAACACGTAGAAGCCCTTTCGATAGGCATACGAAGTGGCCATATCCCGGTGTTCGGGTGACGATGGATGTCGTTGGTCTACGTGGGATCGTGTTCCTCAAAGATGCAAACGGGATCCACAGCGTTTCTATATACCATGATGGGGAAGAATTTGACGAGATTGATGACTCTCTCTGTGTTGGCCTTGCGACACATGACAACGACCAAGAAGAGCAGGTTGCATATTCTGTCTCCCTGGACAAGGTCGAAAAGGTCATTGCAGTAGTTGATGTGAGTCTGTGCTTATTTCCCTCACCTTCTTGCCCTGCTTGACGCTCGCATAGAACCGCAAGATGATTGATCTGGGAATTTCCGGGACGACAACGAAGCGGTCTGGATACGCCGAGGATGAGTGGGATGATGTTGTGGATATCTATAAATAGAATGATGCCATATCCGCCCTTCTCGAATCCGTGTGATATCTGTGGGAAAGTGATTCAGTTTAAAATTCGGTGCGGTCTCCAGGAGATTGAGCCTACAATACCGGTTATGCTAGATAGCCCGAATTATATTAATAGCCGAATGGATCATGTGTATCTGGATGCAAAACTGACACGGACCTAACACAAGGCAGCTAACACTAAAGAATCAAAAAAGACAACATAGATCAAAAACATACAACAGCCGGGATTCGCTGGTGGTCACCCACCCAACTACTAACCGGCCGGCGTGTGGCTTAAGTACGGCTGAGCGGACGGGAAGCCCTGTTTTCCACACCCTATGGTCGTATGTGCTGCAGTTTTCTCCGCACTAGATCATAACCAGCTCGCCCTCCGCATCAAGAACGATTCAAACAACCTCTTCATAAGTTAGTTCATTTATCCTCTCGTAGAAGCAAGTGGACAATTTCATATTTCCCACGGTCATGTCTGCAAGTGTTGCCTCAACAGCCCAGTGAGAAGGGGTAACCCCCGTTCTTTTGAATAAGTAGACAAAAGGTTGACAATGTCCTGACACACGAATAACTTGAAGCAGCATGTGTCCAGACCTTATCCCCTCGCATCTACGACGCATAACAGCAGGTAGAACCCAGGCGAGGCCTTTGTAGATGCGATTCAGTGTAACAATCTGTTTATGGTCTTCTGTTCCGAGCTCATGTATCCATGCTGGCCTGTACGCATAATTTACAGGAGTTAGAGCAAAGTATGCACTTGTTGTCCTTCTGACCAATGCAAACCTCATTCAAGCGCCGCGCGCAATGGCCCTAGCGATGGCGTACGGCCACAGTCATGTGGTACTCCGACTCTCGAAAGCGAGATCGATGTCTGGGTACGTATTCAAACTCAGCTAAATACTCCTGGATAGGTCAAAGAATGCGCATCTTCTTGTGCCACATATTGGGTCTTCTTGCATTAGCATACATTTCTGATTCTTGAAAGTCAACCATGTATCTAGAGGCAACAGAACGTGGTCCGCCATAGAACCAGCGCTTGAATGGGTCCTTCCCATATCCGACTACAAGGAGCTAAGTGTTTGAAGGTCTCAGATAATCGAGAATAAACCTCTATTGTGTAAATGCAGACTACATACACCGAAAGGGATCTCTTTGTGTCCATGAAAACCCGTCTATGCTTGAATGTCGAGTGCAATGCACGAGTCCCAGTCGAGTAAGAAATTTGGGGTATTTGAAATAAAGTGTAAAGATCAGACCCATGGCGGAGGAGCTACGCCCTCACGCCCGAGTCCCATCGAAGGAGAAGATGCAGTCCTGCAAGTGGGGGTCCTGACCACCGCTTCGAGCAAGAAAGCTTCTCATAAGACTGAAAAGGTGAAAGACAGGGACCCAATCCAGTGGCTCCGTAACGGCGAGGGCGTTTGCTGTCATAACTTCGTGTGGGAAAAAGAGTCGAGTCGGATGCAGAACATCTAAGTCGTTTAAGCGCTTTCGATCTGCTGCATGCATTGTTCGAACTCGCTCCAGTCCTTCATGATCACCTTAGCACCGAGTTCCTCGAGACGCTGGGCCATCTCAATCTTCTTGTCATCACCAGGGTAGCTGCCGACGTAACCAATGACTGGGATACCGGCACGGATGGCACTCAGAGCACCAGACTTGCTGTCCTCAATGGCAACCACTTCTTCGGGCTTCTTCTTGCACACCTCAAGAGCATGTAGGTAGATAGCAGGATCAGGCTTGGAAGTGGGCTTGGGGAGGGAGCTAGCAGCGCTGAAAACGAGGTCGGGGTCGAAGTATTTGTCTTGTCCAACCTTCTTGATGGAGGCTTTGACACGGCGCAGGGCAGAGGAGGAGACAACGGCGAGGCCATACTTCTTGGACTCGTAGATTTTCTCCAGCTGCTCGTTGGCCCCAACGCAAGGCTGTGCCTTATCGTTGAGCTTGGCGATGACCTTGTCCTCCTCCTTCGTGACGTATTCCTCAAGTTCTTCCTTGGACATCTCGAACTTGTACTTGGCTTGAAGAGAAATCATCATTCCGCGGAAGTTCTGACCAACGAAGTCCTGGATCAGCTGCTCGCCGGTGTAGCGATCAGGGATGTTGCGCTTCTCAAGAATCTCATTGGCAAGGTCCGCGCATGCTTCGAACGCCAGCTCCTCCGACAGGACGAGGGTGTTGTCACAATCGAAGAAAATTTCCGTGATCTGCAGCAATGGTAGGGTAGTCAGTATATCTGTGGATCCATGATTTCATGCGATATGGAGAGCAACAAATAACCAACCTTAGGCATCGTGACAGCTGAGCTCAGAAGTTCTGTGTTCTACAAGTTGTAAAGAACTGTGTGGAGATGTATGGTGTGTGGGGAGTTGAAGTTTTGTAAGAAGTCTGCTTCAGGTGAGATGAAGTGGTGGAGGTGAAAGAAAGTCAAATGGAAGTTGTTTGCTTGGTTGAGGGTGAGGGTAAGTGGGAAGGGAGCGAATTGTTGCAGTGGATTGGACCGGGATCAAGTAGGACGCAAGTGGCAAACAACAACGGCTGCCCACGTTCTTTAAGTAGTTTTGGAAAGAGCCTTTGAAAGACAGTGAATATACCAAGACTGGAAGGCAATGACGCCCATTCAATCCACCGGTGATTCGAAAGGGGATGAAATCAACAAAACCCTCTTTCCGTTTCCAAATTATTCACCTATCAGAGCTCAAATTTTTGACTACTTTCTGACTTCCTATGATACTATCCGGGCAGGAGCGGGACTGGCGGGGTTCCTGAGACCTGAGGTCATATCATGACGTTAGGTAAGGTTGCTGCGACTGAATGTGGTGAATAATATGGAGGATGGGGGCCATCGAGGGGGCTAGTGGTGGTCAGCTAAGCCTATGAAAGCAAGCACCCGCTGCCATTTCTCGTTTCGGTAACGCTAAGTTTCCCCTCTACTTAACTTGATTTAGCTTAGTGTCTTCTCTGGATGGAAAGGCACCGAAAGCCACTGAGCCGAATCGAATAGAGTCATGATCTTTAGTTTACCTGTCTACCTATCCTTTGAGTGCCTCAGATATATCGCCTGAGGCTATTATTTTGTGGCTTACCAGGCTTACCATTGTGGGGCTTTCCAAACTCCTCGATCCTTTTTCTCTCTTTTTTCTCAAGTCCTTTCCGATGGCTTTCTGGCAGTTCTGCGATCATGGAATCTGATATTCAAGAAGATTTTATCACTTCATACAAAAAGCCTCCGTCTAGCATGAACTCAGGCGTAAGAAGGATGGAGAAGACAGAGTTTTTGATTTACTGTACATTCTAAAGGTGCTTCTACCTGCAGACGCATGACTGGGGTGCTTCACATGATATAGATGATTCATGCGAGGGGCTCAAATCGGTCAAGATATCCCAGGGTCAAAGACCCAAACACACCTCACTGGGAGAGGAAGACTAAGAGTGTGGCAGGTAATCACACACCAGCAAATTCCCGAGAGCTGATTCCTCAAGTTGAAGTTGAAATAGCTCGGGCCTTTCAATGCCTGTCATTGTAACTTGCATGCCCCGCAGTCTCCTTCGACTTGATTGCTGGTTGGGCGGATACCACACAGTTTTGTTCACCACATAGGCACCTTGGGCCTTAGCTACACTAAGGTACCCAAGATACATCAATATTGTTCTGGCGTAGGCCCATATAGAACGAGCCATTGAGGTAGTCTGATTATGCTCGCGTCTTGATGTAGTTCAACTGAGTGGATTCTTTAGCCTTCGACCCAGCAAGAGTTCCTTCGATGCTAATTGGCTCATTCTTACCCAGTAAACCATCCACCATCGATCAGGTTAGGCCCGTCCTCTTCCAACCCACACTTGATTATGGGATAACTTGATATTGGACCAGGTACATATCTCGGTTTTCCTTGATCTCATATTCTGAGGTATTATTATTTAGGGACCTCATTATTGGCTCTTCTTCCCCTTTCTTTACTCGTGTAAGTTTCCGTCCGCAAATCGCTTCACGGAAAAAGAGCCAATGTCAGGGAACACGGGCGGTCATTCCGACGCATTTCCTGTCTCTGTCTCGTCCCTTCATTTCCCCTCCGCAGCACAATCCGTTTCTCAGACTTTGTCGTCGCTGCGACGGTCAGCACTGTCCATCTCCAACCGACTTCGTTCAATTGAGTCCGATGCCGCCTTCGTTGCGGAGGTTGCCGAGCACTACGGCTTGCCTCTAGTCGCCAACGAAAGATGCGGGAGTTGGTATATTTCGCCGGACATCAAAGCTGGTAGTGCCTACTTTAAGAGCACGGACGGCCATACTGGTCAGTGGGATTTTAGTTTTCGTAGACTGAATCTACAAATATTACCACTTGCTCGGAAACATGGGGGGTGAGTGAGCGTTTGATTATCTGGCTACACTATTGTTATCGCCTCCCGTTGATACTTGGGGCTGGTCTTGACTAAACTGCCAATGATCGATGCAGATGCATTATTGTGGATTCAACGCGTCGGGGAAAATGTAAGTTCACGATCTGATTTCTCTGTTCCTGGTCTTACAAGGCGCAGTGATGCCCGACGCCTTGTCGAAGACTGTTCCAATATGGTGCGCCGTCATGAATCGAGCACTTTTCCCTTCCGATGCTGCATATCACGCAGTACAGCTTCCGCCGAATTATCTAGGCGCCTCGGAGGAATCGCAGATTGAACACCGGATTGATGGTTTCGTAAAATCGCTCAAGGTCTTCTTTTCCGTCTACCATTACTAGACCTTTTCTAGCCCAGCAGTTTTAGACTAACTAGAGGTCCAGGATCTCAAACTTGATCTGGATGATCTCAGGCAACAACTTAGAAAGCCCATTCGGGTGGCGTGGGCCAATCGGTCTTATTTTCATCCTACCGATCTGCAGAAAGAACCCGACTATAACCTTTTCGTTCTCTGTTCTGCGTCTAAACGAGTTCATGGAGCGGAAATTTCAGAGGGTGGCTACATTCAAGGCGCAGGGGATGACAGCGAGGGCTGGGCCCAGGGGTTGACTCCGCCAGTCTTCTGGGCCAACAAAGCGACTCTCCTGAAGACGCCCGAGGAGGCTTTGCCCGAACTGATCGAAGAACTGGTGAAAGAGCATCGAGGTCAGGACACCGGTGAACAAGCCACACTGGTTGTGCCTACTCGAAATCTATATATCAGTCAAACGAACGTCCGTCTCAACGACAGTGGTCTCTATGACCTCGTTATTGATTGCAATGCTAGACCGGAGGCATCAGAAGGAGACCCAAAGCGGCTCAACCTTGGATGTAGGTCGTCAAAACTGGGAAGCCGCGACTTGAGACAAGAGCTCGATAAAGTTCGCGCTTTTGTCAGTTCCCAACTCGCCTCCGATCCCTCCCAGTCACTACTTGTTACGTGTGAAACTGGTAAAGATCTGTCCGCCGGCGCTCTCCTAGCTATCGTATGTCTGTTCTACAATGATGATGGTATGCGATCCTTCGATACACCTCACTTGCCTGCTATCTTTCTTTTCCCCCTATTTTCTTCGTCCTCTTCTTTCTCTAACAGTTCGCAGGAGCTTTCACAACATCGCCGGCGAAGCGATCAATAGACAAGCAATTCATACGGCAACGTCTTGCATGGATCGTGTCATCAAAACATGATGTGAACCCGTCGCGCCCTACGCTTCAATCAGTCAATGCATTTCTGATGGAACGACCGGATTATTAAGACTGAGAGATTGCATCTTATCATTAAATCCGGGCGTGACACGCTATATAATACAGACTCATTCTATCTACTCATTTTCGACGGCCTCCACAATAGCTCCAGCGCTTCCTTGATCGAGGGCATTCAATACCGCCATATCCTCCTCACCAATCTCAAAATCGAAAACGTTGGCATTAGCCACAATCCGCTCGGGAGTGTCACTCTTGGGCAACGGAACCCATCCTTTCTGCAGTGCGTAGCGTATCAAAATCTGTGCCGTCGTTTTTTCGTACTTCTTGGCCAGGCCGACTAGTGTTGGGTCATTGGCTTTATAGTTTCGCACGAGCGGGGAATATGCTTCAACGACAATGCCGTTTTTCTTGCAATATGCATCAATAACTCGCTGTTGGCACCAGGGATGAAGCTAAACAGCGCATAAGGTCAGTATACCTCAGGTGCTGGTCATAAACGAATCTACTTGAAAGAGCTTCTCAACCACATAGCTTACCTCAATCTGGTTTACGTGCGGCGGCCAGACCTTTGCATATGCCTTCATCTCCTCGATGTGTTTCACCCCAAAGTTGCTCACACCGATGCTCCTCGTCTTGCCTTCCTCCAGAAGCCTCTCCAAGGCCTGCCAAAGCTCTTTCCGACCGGCCGAACCGGAGCTTGAGCTATGAATGAGGAACAAATCCACGTATCCATCCTGACCGCCAATCTTCTCGACGCTTTCTAGTAGCTTCTTGTACGTAGCTTCGGGCGACCCCGCTGGGCTCAGGATTTTCGTAGTAACGAAGATGTCGCTGCGAGGGATGCCGCATTTGCGAAGAGCTTCCCCGACCTCCTTCTCGTTGCCGTAAAACTGGGCAGTATCAATGTGTCGGTATCCCGCTTCAAGGGCCTTCAGTGACGACTGGACACATTGGCCGGTGGGAGAGCGGTAGACACCGAACCCAAGGCGGGGAATCTTGACGTCGGAATTGGGGAGAGGCAGTAAATCCGTGATGGCGAGTTTCGAAGACATTGTGTTTGTGTATCGACGGGAGTCAATTGATGATGGTGATCGAAGAACTGCGCTCGAATGTATTCAGTTTTTCAAGCTTTTAAGCTGGCCAGAATGACTCGACGGCATGGACATGGAGCGGGGGGAGAAGATTTGGTAGGCGCTTCTGGTTGGTGTCCAGCCCCTCCAACTTGCCCCGCCCTTGGTCTTGGTGCAAATGATATCATTCTCTGGGCTTCTCAGGTGATTGCTGAGCCCTTTGCACTATCTGATCTAGGCACTTCTGCTTGCAAATAACATCTACGTACTGACCTTGGTAGTGTTTCTCTCTGGTAGTAGTGAGTGCATCCTCGCCTTTGTCCTGTCTACCTTTCATCTTAAGGTTTGAACTCCACAAAACCCTTCCTGGGTCATCCAGGTAGTATCCCTGAGCCCTGGTACCCCTTGGGCTGCTCGAGAATGTAGATCGGGTGCCCTGACTCCTCCCTGGTTGTTCCATACCGCATTTCTTTATACTTGGATCTACGCGAACCTTTGTAAAAACAACAATCAGGAAGACCGCATGGTGGAGAAATGGGACATTGGTCTTTGGGTCTTTTACCGAAAGGGGTAGAACTACTCCGTAGAGCATCACGTCTGATACGATTGCAGAGGTACTGGTATTATCAATAACTCGGACATTTTAGCTTTCATAAACCAGGAAATATTGGATCCTCCGACTGGCTAAGGATTGCAGTCGCAAGCTCACCCTGCAAGGCTCCGGATGATCTATCTCTAGTCTAGCACTTGGAAATGAGGTCTCGTTAGGGTCGACTACCGAGTGAATATGTGAGAATCAGAATGTCGGCCATACAAGGCTAGGACGATCGACCTTCATGATAACATTTGATGGAACGATTCGGCGTAGTAACTGAATTCGAGTGATGCAAGTGGAATGTTCAATAGCATGATGATGTATCATTGCATACCAAATTTATCGTTGAACCCCTGAAAATGCTCGACCTCGAAGAGTGGACGAACGGGTAGAAGCCGAAGTCTTCAACCATGGTGGTTGCTGTGGGGGTCCGAGGGGATGGTTTGTTGACAGCCAAGTAGGATAGATAATCCGCCGTCTTGCAAGTTGCAACCAGAGTGCTACAGCCACAAGACTCTTGAGAACTGAGAAGTGGTCTCTAGTCTACTGACCACCCAATTGTGTCTTTTAGGTTCACATATCACAGTCAAAGCTCCTAGTATCTAGGCTGTTCTGATCTCCATCTGATGCCGAATCCAGCCACCCTCAAATTGGTCTGTCGTGAAGATCTTGCCCTTTCCATCCCAGGCTAGTTTATCGGAGAGCGGGTATCCCTCCTACAGGTTAGGTACCTTTAGGTACTTCCCCAATCTATTTTGGATTCTTTATCGTCTGTTCTTGTCACTGACAGGCCCAAGAAAGGACAAAGAAAAGAAAACGAAGATCCCTAAGATCCGACAGCCCTGAATGTACTCGATTCTTTCCATCACTCATCATGTTGACGGTTGAAAAGTCCTGGGTTAATGTCCAGCAGAAAACTTTTACAAAATGGTTGGTATATGCTCCGACTCCCCTCACTGGTCCTTTGTTATTGTTTGATTGAGACTGGTGGTGCCCCTCGTTCGTTGGATAATTTCTGCTTGGTCGCGATCTGTCCACTTTCCCACACGCTCGTTTCGGCGCCGATCCTGCTCTTGCTGACAAGCTCCTGTCCCCGTAGGCTTAATGACAAGATCAAGGTTCGAGGCATCTTGATCGATGACCTTGTGACCGACCTCTCCGATGGCGTGAGTCTCCTCCTACCTTTTGTTATATTATTCTGAGAATGCAGACATTGATCGGTCAACTCTCCTAGGTTATCCTCATCCACCTGCTCGAAATCCTCGGCGGAGAATCCCTCGGCCGTTATGCTTCCAAACCCAAGCTTCGCGTGCAAAAATTCGAGAATGTCAACAAGAGTCTTGACTTCATCAGAGGGAGGCGGATTCAGATGACGAATATCGGAGCGGAGGATATCGTCGATGGCAATCGGAAGATTATTCTGGGATTGATATGGACGCTCATCTTGAGGTTCACTATCAGCGACATCAACGAGGAGGGCATGACCGCCAAGGAGGGTCTTTTGCTGTGGTGTCAGAGAAAGACTGCTTGCTACGAGGGGGTAGAAGTCCGCGACTTCTCCACCAGCTGGAATGACGGTCTTGCTTTCTGTGCTCTCCTCGACATCCACCGACCGGATCTGATCGATTTCGACGCTCTGGACAAGAATGATCATCGCGGGAACATGAAGCTCGCGTTCGATATTGCGACAAATGAGATTGGTATTCCTGATTTGCTCGATGTGGATGACGTTTGCGACGTTGCGAAACCCGACGAACGGTCGCTGATGACTTATATCGCCTATTGGTTCCATGCCTTCTCTCAGCTGGAAAGGGTGGAAAATGCGGGTCGGCGAGTTGAGAAATTCATCAACAATATGCATGGTGCTTGGGAGATGCAGAACTCATACGAACGGAGGATGAAAGAACTCTTGCGTCTGATTAGAGCCCAGCGCGAAGCATGGAAGAATGCGTCGTTTGAGGGAACTTACAAAGACGCTAAAGAACAAGCTCGCCAGTTCTCCTTGTACAAGAGAAATGAGAAACGACGATGGGTCGCCGAGAAATCAGACCTTGCTGCTCTACTGGGTAATATCAAGACCAAACTCAGCACCTATCGGCTTCGTCCGTACGATCCTCCGGAAGAGCTACGCCTCGAAGTCTGTGACCAAGAATGGGAGCTATTGACTCGCGATGAGCACGAGCGGAGCCAGCTTATCAACGAGACCATTCGGGACATCAAGAACGCTCTACGCCGATCCTTCGCGGACAAGGCTAATGACTTTGCACTCACACTGAAGACCTTGTCCCTTGCTATTTCTGGTCTTGACGGCGATGTAGAGGATCAATTAGAGCATGTCCAGAGACTCAATGACAATCTTCCTCCACTCGACGCTTTCTTAGAAACCATTGCGGAACTTGACGAACAGTGCGTCGAAGCGAATATTGAGGAGAACGACTTCACAACATATACCTTAGATGAACTTTCTTACGAGCTGAGCTTAGTCAAATCAAGTATCTCCAAGAAGCTCGCGTTCCTCGAGAACCAGCTAGTTGCCCGCAATATGACCAACCTGACTCCAATCCAACTGGAAGAGTTCGAATCTGTCTTTAGACATTTTGACCGTGATTCATCGAATACACTTCACGAGCTCGAGTTCTCTGCGGCCCTCGCTAGTCTTGGACTTGTATACGACGAGGAAGAAATGCACCAGGTCTACATCGAAACTTGCGGCCCTGCCAGGCTGGCGCAGAATGCTGGCGTCAGCTTTGAACAGTTCATCCGCTTCATGGTTAGCGTGACGGAAGATCAGCATACTGCAGAGCAGGTCTTTCAAAGCTTTCGCGAAGTTGCGGACGGCAAGGTATGTACCTCCACAACCCGAGAAGTTTCGCAGCAGTTGCTGAGAATCCTCGTTAACTTGGTCAATTTGCAGCCATATGTCACAGAAATCGACCTCCGCCACTCGCTCATCCCAGATGAGGTCATTGAGCACCTTGTTCAGACAATGCCGCTACATCAAGGTCCAGATCTTCTAGAGGATCGAGAGCTTCCCAAGTATGACTATATCAGCTTCATGGAAAAGATGATGGAGCATAACAACAAGAACAAAGATAACGCCTCTGTGAACGGCGACCACTAAATTTGGATCAACAGCGATTTCCGTTTCACATTGCCTTTGCCTTTGCCCTTCAATCCCTTTTACTTGGTTTTCCTTGTGGGTTGCTATAGGAGTTTTGCGGAGCGAAAAGGGGTCTTGGTCTTTATATGGGTGACAGTATCAGCCATGCATACAGGACTTGAATCATTGATTTTCTTCTGTTTTTAATTTCTTGTCTTGCATGGTTATTTTTCTCCTTCGTCCGTACAACCTGCGTTTTCATGTCTCGTTTGACCTGTACGCGGTTCCTGCCATGTATACCACCATTCAAGTCAAAGTAAAGTAATTGATGAGTAGAAAGATATCTACCAGGTACGCTCCTTCTGATGTTAAACAAGTTAGATCAAAGGGTGAGCTCCATAAAACGGCATCTGCTGTACGCCGACTGAAACATCTTTCAGCGCTGCACACAGAAGCAGGATTCGCTCCGAACCTCAAAAATCATGATGATCTGGCTTTCTTCCATTCTGCTCTTGATTCTTTAAGGCCTAAAATCCCTCAATTGCTCTTGACTTGGATTGGTGGATCTCACCCATGCTGTTGAGATCTCAACCTTTAGCATGGAATACTCCGTAGAATCACATGATCTAGGCTTATTTCTGGTCTCCCTTGTCCAAGCTGAATCTGATACAACTACCAACAACATCTCCTCAATTGAACCAACTCACAAACATTTTTCACCTCTTCGGCTTCAAGCAAATTATTCAAACTTCATCGTCTACCTCCTTACAGCCTGATCTTCCGCCGTGTCCAAGATGGACCGCAGTCTTGATGAGATCATTGCCGAGCGCCCTGTAAGGCCTCCAGTGTTTTGTTTCAGCTTAGCACTCATCGAAGAAGCTTCATTTGTTTACTAACGTGATGAATTGTACAGCAGAAGCAGAACAGAGGTCGCCGTCCTCCTCAAAATCAAGGTCGTCGCCGTGATGGCGTGAAAAAGGTCCGTCCAATATTGTCCGACAAGACAAACCATCACTCCCAGGTCAGCTGTGCTAACCTCCTATTTTTCGAGCTTCTAGGTCCTCCCTCCTCTTCTCCTTCCGAACCTTCCTGTCGCAACATGATCAGTACAGATATCGTTGGTCTTGGCGTCCTGTCTTTCACGGCCTCAAGGCACGCGAAAGAAGCCGCAGATTGATGGAGCCGTTTCCAGACTGCATATTTTGATTTCCAGCTGACCTTGTCTCTCTTTTTGCGTCACAAACAGTCCTACAGAGAAGAACGAGTCGACTTAGATCTGTAATTATCCCGGCACAAATCACGATATGGAAACTGCGTTTACTGATAGGGTTACATTTACAGTGATTGGGTCCACGACAGATATGACGACGACAGAGACAGTGCGTTTTGAACCTGGCTTCGTGGCGATTGTCACGGGGAATTTTCGTTCCGCTTTTTTGTTTTTAACACAGCTTTCTTTCAGCCCGCCCTGCTCGTGGCCCCCGACGTCCACGCGGTGACCGTTACTCCCCGTCGCCCGATCGGTATGTCTGGCTTGGATTTTGATGCTGAAGCACTTTGTGGCTAACTCCTGACGCAGCGCGCCCACCGGAGCAAAGATTCGCGTTGAGAATCTTCACTACGACATTACGGAGAGCGATCTGGAGGTAAGTGCCAACTAAAGAGCATATGACACGTGGTGCTTGTTCAGTTAGCTGATGAGTTTTCTTCTTAGGATTTGTTCACTCGGATCGGACCCATCTCAAATTTATCTCTTGTCTATGACCGGGCCGGACGCTCCGAAGGTGTTGCCTACGTTACCTACAACCGTGCGAGCGATGCGAGAACGGCGATTTCGGAATTCGATGGCGCAAATGCCAAAGGACAGCCTATTCGTTTGACACTAGTCGCCTCTGGCGGTGGAAAACGGGACCGCAACCCATTTGACAATGTCGAACGGCCCAAGGGAAGTCTTTTTGATCGCATCGAGCGGCCCCGCAATGCCCGAAGCTTGAGCCCCGGAAATGAGAATGGTGATGCCGAAGGCGGAGCACGTCATCGCCGGGGCCGTCGCGGTGGCGGAGGCTATCGACGTAGCGATGTCTCGAAGCCGCCCCCGGAGCACATTGACCGGTACGTGCCAGGACAGCGATCGCCGGTCCGACGAAGCACCAATGGCAGACGGCAGGGGGAGCGACGAGATGACAAGGATCGAGGCGAGGGTCGCCGAAACCCTAACGCCAGACCTAAGAAGACACAGGAAGAGCTTGACCAGGAGATGGATGATTACTGGGGAGGCGCAAATGCCGGTGCTGGCGCAGCTGACAAAGAGACTGTGCAAGATGAGCCTCTGCAGATTGCTCCAGCTACGTCCGCTGCGGCTGGTGACGACGATGTTGATATGATTGAATAAGATATTACCTACATTGCGGAGGCATAAGGAGGGTGTTTTTTTTGGCATTGTATTCGATTTTCTTGCTCTTTGTATTTCTCAACTCAACCAGATTGGAACATCTCCTCGTGCACAGTTTTCCTTGACACTGAGCGTGTAATATGAGATCGTTGGATTCGCATGTATCATGCAGTACTGTTACATTTATCTCGATCCGTGGCTCAGAGTTTGCATTGTAAAGGTAGGTGTTCGAAAGGCCCCGGGCTATATGCTGATTATCGACTGGAGACGTGGCGAGCATAGGGGTCGCGAGAACCAGATGAGATCTGTGGATAGCCAGTATTGAACACAGACTTCGTCTCACTGGAGCAAGGGTCACTGTAGGCTGGAAACTTTTCCATAGACACAGAAAAAGCTCTGCATCTACCGCCACAGCCCATAGGGCTCTCTACATGCCTTCCAAAGCTTGATTGTTCCATCTTCGCTTCCTGTGCCGTAGAGTTTGCCATCGGGAGAGAAACTGACTGACCAGATTGGGCCGTGGTGTCCCTTTTGTACTTCTGAAATACTATGTTAGCGTGGCCATACGCCTTGGAAGGTGGAAGGTTGCTATGCACATACCGAGCTCGTCTTCGGTGCGTAGATCATACACCCGAGCCCAGGTATCGTCAGCACTGCCGGTGACCAATCGGCCGGTATCATTGTTTACAGCGGCGCTGGCGACCTCGTACCGAAAGTCCATCTTCTTCAGGAGGCGCCCGGGTGTGACACCGTCGAAGAGGTAGACATTTTTTCCGGCCGCGACGGTTAGGATACCCGGGTCATTGGGTCGAGTGGCGAGGGTGTTGAGCTCGCAGCTACCTATCGTGCCTTCGACAGCGTACTCGACGACTGGATGGCGAGAACGTAGATCCCACCAGCGGATCTTCCGATCCTCTGCGGCTGTCGTGAGGATGTTGTAGTCCTGATTCCAGACGATAGCCTTGATCGTGCCTCCGTGCACGCCAGGCCCAATCTCATAGCTTGTGATTGCACTAGCCCCGTTACCGTTCTCTACGGCTGATGGGGACGTGGGCGAGGAACTGTTACTACCGCCGCTGCGTGTCAGATCAAAAATACGTAGCTTTTTCTCGAAGCCTCCGGTGGCTAGAATTTGAGGGGACGATTGGATCGGGAATGCCACCGCTCGACAGATGTGTGAATGCTGGAGGGTGTGCAAGCATTCACCAGTATGAGTATCCCACACCTTTCTGTGGATCTGTGTGTTAGCAGTCCCGTCGACATTGTTGCAGTCCAAGAGGCTTTGGAACATACGCGGAGAAATCTGCAGCCGCAGTTGCTGCAATGTTGGCATCCGTCGAAAGACGAGCTTGCCATACAGCTCCCTTGTGGCCAAGGAAAGTGCCAATCCTGAGAGTTAAGTCTTAGTCAAGCAATTGGTAACGATGGCAAGCGACAATAACTAACCAGTCACCAGTAATACCATCCCGGAGCATCGGGTTGTTGTCTATCAGAGAATTTTAGCTTAGCCGCCATGTAGACACTGCGGTGGAAATAGTTACCTTTGCAAGCGGAAATTAGATAGTACTGATCATCCTCTACAAGAGAGGAAAAGTTCAGATGAGGCACTGGACGAGAGTGTCCATGGCAGGTCAAGGGCACAACTTTAGGGATATCTATTTATCGTCAGCACACAGCTGAAGGAAAGCTCTCCGAACTGAGAAAGCTTACCTGAGGCCATCTTAAATAAATAGCCAATATATATCGACCGTGTCTGCTCACTTAGTGGTTGATTTATCGTTTGCTTTCAAGTTTGGTGCGGCCGTGAAGAGGGTGGTGATCAATGCTTTGACATAGGCTTGAAACTGCCTATCAATGATCAAAATATGGATTGACAGGTCATACAATACTTCAGAGAGACATCAAGAATCAATATATGTAATGATACAGGGAAGGATTCGTCAATTTCATCAAATCATCAATATAGATTGGCGGGGTAATCGTGGTGAGGGAATCGGAAAAGAGAAAGAAAAGATATGAAAGGAGTATGATTGCAACAGTAGTAATCCCAACCGTACACCGGTGTCGACGAGTACTTTCACCAGGCCAGTCAATGAAGCAAACAAAGGAAAGACTTCGACTCCAAAGGGAAGCAAGACAGGAGTCTCGAGAGATATTGAGTCGAGCAAGTCTTCCTCTTCTTCTGATAGCTCCGTTCGTTGATACTCCAAATTGTCGGAGTTTCGTTCAAAATCTCCGACTACTCATGCTAGACTGAAAGCAGTAAAGATGGTTTTCACGTGACATGTATACTTCAACTTCCTGAGATGGACAGTAATACCAAGAGAGTGAGATGCGTAGTATCGTCTCAGGGAATGAGGTATTGTAGCTCTGAACTTAAGTCTATTGTCAAACCTCTTACTCATCGATATTCATGTAGCACTTTTACGTAAACGGACGAGCATTTGACCTTCTCCAATGGTTCTGTTCTACTCACAGATATATTCCTAAGTAGAGATGGACTGCGCCTCTATGTCCCAGTAGCATTCAGTAGCCAATGTACATCTCTAAATGCTCCAATTGAAGAATACCTAGACAAACTTTAAAATAACTACTGTATTCATACCAAATGGCGAATCATGCTTATTCAAAGCTATAGATAATAATAGTGAAGTCTTACTCTTACCCCTGGTTTAATTCTAGTAACTTCTGTCACATTATTGTATCTGGCTTTCACCGCCCACATGATATGATGCATGCTGTTCTCCGCACCTGCTGTTGTTGTTGGTTACCATGAACTTAAGTACCAACAGGAGAACTATCGGTCTAACGATCTCATCACTTCGTAGGAAACGTCCTCATCGTTCTCTACTGCCTTGCTCATTGTTTTCTATTTACATAGCTCTGCGGTAGCAGCCTTTGTGTATGCCTGACTTCAAGATCTCCGCTTCTTTGGAGGGCCACGGCGATGATGTAAGAACGTCCCCGGCAATGACTCTCATCACCGCAAAGGGCAATACCCATGTTTCTCAACAGCTGACTCTTACTTTGATTCTCAATTTCAGGTCCGTGCCGTGGCCTATCCGAATCCAAATGCAGTAATTTCGGCTTCTCGAGATGCGACCGTTCGGCTTTGGAAGCTGGTATCTACCCCGCCGCCTGTTTATGATTGCACCATTTCCTCCCACGGCTCGGCATTCATCAACGCTGTAGCATATTACCCACCAACATCTGATTTCCCTGAAGGTCTCGTGCTTTCTGGTGGCCAGGATACGATAATAGAAGCAAGGCAACCTGGGAAAACTGCAGATGACAATGCTGACGCAATGCTCCTGGGCCATGGTCACAACGTCTGTGCATTGGACGTCTGCCCGGAGGGAGGCTGGGTGGTAAGCGGCAGTTGGGACTCGACCGCGAGGCTGTGGAGGGTCGGCAAATGGGAATGTGATGTGGTCATGGAGGGTCACCAAGGCAGTGTCTGGGCTGTTCTTGCCTATGATAAGGACACGGTCATTACCGGTGCGTCTATCGCTTTCTTCCCTTCATGTGTCAGCTAAAGATATAGTGTGCTCATACTTTGACCAGGCTGTGCCGACAAGATTATACGGATCTTTAATACCTCGGGGGACCTTGTCAAGAGCATTAAAGATTCTCGCGATGTCGTTAGAGCTCTGTGTAAGCTTCCTGCTTCACATCCCTCAGGCGCACACTTCGCTTCTGCAAGCAATGACGGAGTCATTCGACTGTTCACATTACAAGGGCAGCTGGTTGCTGAGCTTCTTGGTCACGAGAGCTTCATATATTCTTTGGATGTCTTGCCAACAGGCGAGCTGGTCAGCTCCGGAGAAGATCGAACCGTAAGAGTATGGAATGGCACACAGTGTGTGCAAACAATTACCCATCCTGCAATCTCAGTATGGGGCGTTGCTGCCTGTAAAGAGAATGGCGATATTGTCACAGGTGCCAGTGACCGTGTCACGCGGATTTTCAGCCGAAATGAAGAGCGAGTGGCAAGCCCGGAGGTGGTGCAACAGTTTGATAAAGCCGTCAAGGAATCTGCAATACCTGAACAGCAAGTTGGCAAGATCAACAAGGAGAAGCTTCCGGGCCCCGAATTCCTCAAACAGAAGTCCGGTACGAAGGATGGTCAGGTGCAAATGATTCGCGAAGCAGATGGCAGCGTTACGGCCCACACGTGGTCGGCTGCTTCACAAGAATGGATTGCTGTTGGTACCGTGGTTGATTCTGCTGCCAGCAGTGGGAGGAAGATCGAATATATGGGACAAGATTACGACTATGTCTTCGATGTGGATGTCGAGGATGGAAAGCCTCCCCTCAAGCTTCCATACAATATTTCGCAAAACCCGTACGAAGCGGCCACGAAATTTATCCAAGATAACGAGCTGCCTATGAGTTACCTAGACCAAGTTGCGCAGTTCATTGTCCAGAACACGCAGGGCGCAACTCTCGGACAATCTATTGGAGAACCCACGCCCACCGGCGCTGATCCCTGGGGCCAGGAGAGGCGGTATCGCCCTGGAGATGCCGCAGCGGCAGCGGCCCCCCCTACGCCTTCTTTACCTGAATCACGCCCCAAAGTCCTTCCTCAGAAGACGTATCTCTCCATCAAGACAGCCAATCTCAAAATCATCGCCAAGAAACTACAGGAACTGAATGACCAGCTCGCATCCTCGGGATCAAAAGACTTATCTCTCAGCCCTCCTGAGCTGGAGACTGTAGTTTCGCTGTGCAGTCAGTTGGAGTCTTCCGGTGCCCTCAAATCATCGCCCGTAGTGGAGGCTGGGCTGAGATCGTTGTTTAGAGTTGCAACGACGTGGCCTGCCACCAGCAGACTGCCTGCCTTGGACCTGCTCCGCTTGCTCGCTGCTGCTACACCGCTGACCGCCACTGCAGACTACGATGGAAAAGATCTCGTTTCTGGGGTTCAGGCGAGTGGTATATTTGATCCACCGTTGAATGTGAACAATGCGATGTTGTCTATCCGAATGCTGGCGAATCTTTTCGAGACCGACGCCGGTCGTCAATTGGCTGTGAATAGGTTCGACCAGATTGTGGCGGTTGTCAATGCTGCTTTGAGCAACAGCGGAGCAGCACCGAACCGCAATCTCACCATAGCGGTGGCCACACTTTACATCAACTTCTCGGTTTACTTTACCTCTGGAGGGAGGGAATTAGCCCCAGAGTCATCTGAGCGGGGTCTGGTGCTCGTTGGGGAATTGGTCAAGCTAATCACAAGCGAGAAGGATTCGGAAGCAGTGTATCGTGCCCTTGTCGCCCTCGGAACTCTTATCAAGGCGCTGGGCGAGGAAGTGAAGAGTGCTGCGAGGGAGGTTTATGATGTGAAGAACATCCTGGAGAAGGTGTCAAGCTCAGGCAGTGGGAAAGAACCTCGGGTCAAGGGTGTCATTAGCGAGATCAGAGAGTCGATGTTGTAGATTGTGACAATCCGCAGCATGGTTTGAAGGCTGTGCGGGGCGACTCCGCGATTGGAATCATTTTGCCTTGCGATTTCAGGACTGGACTGATTATTTATGAGGCTATGCACATGCTACGCAAGGCCGAATCGGCTTCTAGACTTTTTCGAATGGCATTCAATAGAGAGCGCGCATTCTGCATGCACATTGTACATAAGGTCGAGCTCAATGAAAACACCAGCGCAGGATTGATGATCAGGGGAGAGGACCTCCGAAACCGTATGTTAGTTTCAATTCATAAGCAGCCCAGCGCAGCGCAGCCATTATAGCCGCCCTTCGGCATCAACACCTATTTCCACGACCTGGTCGATGCCAGGATAATCAGGACAATCCAATCCATACTTCTCCGTGATACTCTTGGTCAAGAAACGTCCGCCGATAAAGTGCCTGCCGCGGTAATATTTCACGCATGGTTTTGGGGCTGTGAGACTGATCAGCGCCTGGGGCATAAATTTGGACCCCGGACCCTCCTTGGGCGGACCACTCTGAATGTCCCAAGAACTGGGCGCATCGACACTCAGCACAGGGACAGATGACGACTCGATCTGGGAGATGATGGATGGGAACGGGTCGCGGAGGGGACCCCCGAAGGAGAACCCGAAGATGGCGTCGACGAGGAAGTCGGCGGACTTGAGGGCCTCGGTGAAATCTGGGACGAAAGGGACGGATAGGTTGCGTAGCTGGGTTTTGAGGCGCTGTTGGTGGGAGATGATTAGTTTTGTCCGGAATGGGAGGGTTAGGGGGTGGCTTGCCTGGTAGAGCTCATTCTTGCCTTCTTTGGGATAGTAGACTGAGGGTGTATAGCCGTACTGTGCCAGATGGCGAGCAGCTACTAGGCCGTCGCCGCCTTTTGAAGCGAGTCAGCGTCTGCCGTTGAGCTCTTGTGTTGTGGACTGGGATAGAAGCGTACCGTTGTTCCCCGGGCCACAGACGACGAGAACGTTCTTGCCGGCGCTGGGGGGATGGAGGCGATAGACTATCGCAGGTATGTTAGCCTTTTAGAGGGTCTTCTTATTTTGATTGTTAATGCTCCACGGCGTGGGACATACCTGCCTGCGAAACGGACAGCCCCGCGAGTTCCATCAGTTGGTCCAAGGACCATCCACCCATCTCCATCAAGTCCTTATCGAGGGAGGCAGCATCTTTGGATGAGATCGCCTGATATAGAAAGTGAGCTACGGAGTATAGCTTGGAATTATATGAGCCTACCTACCTTCAACGACATCCTGGCGGTCCTACTGTACTGTCGAACTGCTGTGGGGAAATATCGTTTTGAGAGAACAGAGCGGAACATACAATGCGAGAGATTAAGTCAATTTAGAAGCAGTTATGATAGCTAGAAGCTAGATCAAAATGGAGAGGTACAAGAAGGATATTATATATCTCGTCTATATTGTGGTATAGTACGATGGACAGAGCACCTGTTACTTTCATATACATGCCTGCAGGTCGGTCGCATTGCATCATCGCGATGTTTTGTTCTCCACCTCCGGCACTAGTCCTTTTTTGGCACACTCGGATTAACATATCATCCGTATCTCAATCTGAACTTCCGCGGGAGTGCTTCAAGTACCAGTGCAGGCTTAATTCAGCGTCGCATCATTTGCTTCCCGGGTACGGAGGTTAACGATTCGAAGCATTCAAAATGGTCGTCAGAATCCGTCTGTCTCGCTTCGGCAACAAGCACCAGCCATTTTACAACATCGTTGTTGCACAGGCTCGGTAGGTCTCTTTTCTTTGGAGCTTTTTTTTTTTTTACTGTTCGGATGCCGGTATCGACATCTGGATTGAGATTGATGGATAATTGCCAACCCAATGACTATCACAAACATTGCTAATCATCCCTTTTAACTGCAGGTCGGCGCGAGACTCAAAACCTCTTGAAGTCATTGGCACCTACAATCCTATTCCGCAGCGCCCTACGAATCTATCCGAAGAGGAAGCTCAGCGCGCAAAACCATTCAAGGAGGTCTCTCTTGATCGCTCACGGGCAAAGTACTGGCTTGGTGTTGGCGCACAGCCCAGCGATGGTGTATGGCGGTTATTGAACTTGGTACGTGGACGCAAGCTCCAGAGAATTGAAGCTCTTCGCTGACTGGGACAATGACGTTAGGCTGGCCTTGTTCAACCCAAGTCTAATGCTCAAAATGAATGAGCAGATTTTTCTTGTTTTATTATATTTGAAAGCTCAATCGGTTGAAACGGCCCAGTTTAGATCGAAGATGCTCCGATTCGAGTGGTTGGGGTAGCGATGTACTCTCTTTCTGGCATTTAAAAACGGCGTTTGTGAGAACTGTCATTTTCTGGAATATACTTGGGTTGAAACCATTGTTTGTACATTATGCGGATTGAGTCGTGGTTTCCGTCAGGTTGCGACGAATAAAATGGTCGGTTGATGCAATATTTGGAGTTGGTACCTACAATGTGTGCCTGAGGTTTACCACTGAATCGACTAGCCACAAGGCTAGGGTGCTGTCACTGTCAGTATGTCAGGATGGTCCTTTGCGAGCCTATTGCGCTAGGGGCTGCCTAGGGCTGCACCTCTCAGAGACAAACCCCTTGCGGAAATCATTTCATTCTTTGTTGATGCCGCTGAATGGTCCGTAGAAGCCAAGAAGGCAGCTGAGAATGAGAGATCAAAACTTACCCTCATTCCTCGACGCGACTAAGAAAAGCCAAGCACTATGATGTCGCTTCCTCGCTGGACGCCAGAGTCGTAAGTCGTACGTCAATCTAGTGGTGTCCTGAACATTCAGGAGGCTGACAGGAATGTGAAGGGCCGAACGGGCGGCCGGCAGGCCAGAGCCGGTTGTTGTTGTCATTGACGACAGGTATATCCCTGGAGATGAAGCCGTTGATGGAACATTCGAAGTATAGTTATATAAGCGAAAGTCTTGATCCAATGGGTTCCGGAATCCAGATTGCACACAACTAGCCAAGGGACGTGATACTTTCAAGTGCCTCCAGCATTTCTCCTCCTTCTTACAGCCAATCCCTGTGTGATAGATAGCCACACTCCTAGAGAAATAGGGACAAGCCCATCTAACCTTAGCGACATAGGCTTAGGGTCAATATGATGATTGGTGGTTACGGAGGACTGGACTGGATGATCAACATCAGAGTTTGGGCTTTCCATGAGTCCTGGGGAAGCCACATTTGCCATGAATTCGTTTTGTGGGCACAACGATCAAGAGCCCACCAGGGCCCAGGGGTAATACTCGATTTAGACATCTAGATAATCTGCGGAGTCATAGTTGATGAAAGTTAATGATGAGTCTATGTTGTCAGTCCTTTCCCATGTCTGCTGCTTCATTATTGCCATCACATGAGATGAAATTCCTTGGGCTCCGACCCGATTTGGGAGACGGGAGACGATGGATGAGACCATTCCATGGATGTCTGGCTGAGGATATCCAGAGTCCTCAACAGACGACAACAGCTTTCCTACCTTGGTAAGGTGATCATGTGTAGAACGATCTGGTTATGAAATTATTCCATCATTGACAATCATAGTTCATGCGAGTAATAACAGAGTCTGATATAGTCTCTGTTCCTGTAGAGATGGCTTGGTTTGTGTCGCAGACCTACAAGCAGGTTTGAGTGTCCTTGGTTTTCAGACGATACATTTTCAGGTACTTCGTCATTGATTTTGGGCAAGGAGAGCGATAGGGAAAGTACGGAGTAAGGTAGATAACTCTCATGTCAACAAGATGAAGCAACAGGCAGAGATGATGAAGTGACAATAATTCAAGGGATCCACCTTTATGCACGGCCTCTGCCACTAACGGGACACGCACTTCCCCTGCGGCCTGTCCTGGTCTAGGACGGACTCTAAGTAGACAGTATTGTGTATGTTCGCATCCGGACCGTTCGTTGTGATTATCCAAGTGACCCTACCATTCTCGCTGTTCTCGGTATGTCCCTTATTATTCCACGGAGTTCAGTTCAACGAGGATGTAGTTAGTGTATGATCAATGTTCTCTCCTGTCTTTCTCAGTGTGTCAATTTTCTGCTTTTCGTACTGCGTACTCGACAGTCTAAGACCCCAAAGGCCCAAACTGGCGATCGACTCTCATGGGCCCTTGATAGCGCGTCGTGTCAATTTAACTTGCTGGGTCGCGCTTCAGCTGCGTTGGGTCTAGTCGAGTCACTTACGCCATCCGCAGTTCCTGACTGGCTCACGGCACGATGGAGTCATGGATGCAATCAGAGCACCCTCCGATGTCATTCGTTCCTTTCATCATCAGACCCGATCCATCCTCATTCTAGGTACGAGTACTGCGAGTCCCTCGACTCTTCTTAGTCTCTTTGACTCCTGGGACGGAACCAGACTCGATCCGTGGGCCACACGATGCACCGCCTACTTAGATTGATCACGAAGTCCCTAGAGAAGGAAAGGTGAACCCCCCTTAAAAGTACTGGAACTACTGTAGGCACCAGAATCCTCGTAGGGAGTCATGCGTAGTGTAGTGCTAAGTACTACTCGAGTTAGAGTACCTCTATATGGGTAGGTAGTGGTTGTCTCTCAGCACCATTCGGGACTTCAACTGGACACTCGAGATACTCCTACTCGTTCATCGCAATTAATGGGATTAACATTATCCCATTATTCATGTACCTTTTTTTTTTCCCTTGCTTTCACATTTACATTATCATAGCCATCATCATCTGCTGTCATTCGCGTGTCCCTTGGATCGATCATTCTTCGGTCGCCATCATCTTATCTGGGTCACGACCGCCTAGACTATGCCGATAATGCCATAATCCTCCTCCCCCCCAAAAGTTCCAAACTTTCCCTTCCACACCTATTGGAATAGGTATCTGTCTGTCTGGTCTATCTAAGCCAGTTCCACTCTCTGGACTCGGTACTGCCCGTACACTCACTTACTGTATCGAACAACCGCCTCCCCCCCATCCAACCCCCCAAAACCTCTCCTCTCCTCTCCTCTACCTACTCCGACCTACCTACCTACTCTTCCGTTCTCGTCTCTCGTCCGATTTACCTTACACATCCTCTTCCTCCTTTCCTCTTCCTTCACCTCATCGCCACCAAACACCTCATCTTCTTGTTACTTTTCTCGATTACTCATTCCTCCCTTAATTGATCATTGTCAAATTTTAATCGCGTATCGATCTCTTGTGCGACTCATTCTCATACACATCCCTCGGCCCGTCTTCATATTGCCTCCTTCGCCGCCAAGCTGCCACACACCCACCTAATCGCGCTCCTTTCGAAGACTCGGTCGCGTTTCTTGATGAGGGCATAAAGTAACCACATCGTCGTGCATCCATTTATTCTTCATCTTTCGGCGCGTCATCCTCGTCCACTTGCTCCTTTGACGCTCTTGCATCGTATCGCAATATTCTTGCTCGCTCCGGCAGACATACCTTCCCTCCTTTTCTAGACACCCCCGCGACTGTTCTTCGTCATCAACCCTGCGAATACATTGTTATCATCGCACACCTGTATCGTGACATTACTCGTCCTCGAGGCATGAGTGCCGGTTCGAGCCAGTCTACTCGTACGAGTCCAGGTTCTTATAGTACCACTCAGCGCACGCCTTCAGTCTCGTCGGGCGCGTCGCCTCCTCAGCAGTCACTTTCTTCCTCCCAGGCGCCCTCGACGGCCCAGAATGCGATGTCGACCGACGTGTATTCTCCCACTGCCTCGCAAACATCGAACCCTCTAGGCGGCTCGTTTTCTTATCCTTTCTCCCCTCTCGGTCCCTCCTTGCCCTTCGATAGTGTCGCGCCTGGCAACATGCGTCTAACTGATTCCGATCGCTCGGCCCAGACCCTGAACGGCTTCGCCCGACCCACAAGTGGTAATACTGGCGGCGCAATTGTGATGCGAAAGTTGCCTCGAAACACTAGTCGCGAAGCGCTGCGCAGTATGTTGCTTTTTGCAAAAGATTTCGTGGATGCGGATTTCTTTCCGGTTGAACTCCCCGAGGATCACGGATACCTGACCGCCATCGCACGCTTCAATACGATGGCTGCAGCTGAAGAAGCCTGCGCTCTACTTGATGGCAAGCCAAATTCGCAGAATGATGCCAACATGATCGTTGAACTCTACCATGGACCGGTCCCGTCGGCGTTGAACCCACCGAGGCGCAATACGATTGATCACACCGCGACTCGGAATATGTTGGCTAATGGCCACCTGTCGCGGTCTTCCCGTTTCAACGGCACATTCCAAAGTCTTGAGAAGCTGGCGGCGCCAAA